TATATAGAGACTATTCATAAGTGCTGTGGCTCTGGAGAACCCTGACAAATACAGATGCCCTCTTAGTGCCATTAGGAAACAGTCATCACTTCCCTTGCATCAGTGATGGGACCAAGAGTCCCAGGGGGATCTAGTGCTGGTTACTCCTCAGCTGTTGATGGAGAGACTCTCTAAGGTCTAGTTCAAGGGCTCTGGGAAGTCTATAGGTATCTTTTACTACAGTACTCTGTTCTACCCCACATGATCTACCCTATAGCTTCATGACCTGCCTAATTAATAGAAACTGATGGGAATTAATGGGACCTAGGAGTCAAAGAGTGGAGGTTCTGAATGGTGGATGTTCAATTCCTTTTCTTCTGTGGACATGGCCTATGGGAGGTGGCTCCTGGAGGAGCGGGAACTGGGCCAGGATGGTGTGGGAAGGGCACAACTTTGAGTCTGGGGAAGTAGGGACATAATGGGAAACAGCGGAGTCCTTAAGACTGAGCTTGAGGGCTCAGTTGTCGGGTGGCCTCAAACTTTATTTATTTATTTATTTATTTATTTATTTATTTATTTATTTGGTTTTTTGAGACAGGGTTTCTCTGTGTAGCCCGGGCTGTCCTGGAACTCACTCTGTAGACCAGGCTGGCCTCGAACTCAGAAATCCACCTGCCTCTGCCTCTCAAGTGCTGGGATTAAAGGTCTGCGCCACCACTGCCCGGAGGCCTCAAACTTTATAAAAATTAAATTAAAATTAACTTTTCATGGCGGGGGGGGGGAAGCACATGTGTGAAGGTCAGAGGACAATTTCCAGGAGTGGCTTCTTTCCTCCACTGTGTGGGTCCCAGAGATCAAACTCAGATCCTCAGGCTTGGCAGCAAGCCTTTTATATTCTTCATTAAGCCATCTTGCCAGCTCGGGTCTTGAACTTCTGATCCTCCTGCCTTTTGTCTCTCAAAAAGCTATCCTTATAGGTACTTATTGCAATGCTAGAGTGTTTGTGTTGAAAGTTAAAACATCCGTGCTTTTATTTTACGTTCTAGAATCTATTAATTATTATTTTCATCAGTGTGGGAGGGGATGTGTGTCATGTTGCCTGTGTTGAGCTCAAAGGACAGCTTTGTGGAGTTGGTTCTCTCCTTTCACCTTCTGTGGGTTCTGGAGTTCAAACTCAGGTCGTTGGGCTTGCCCAGCAAGCATTTGACCTGCTGAGCAGTCTTAAGCCAGGTGTTACCTTTATAAATTGCTATTCCTTGTGTTGTGTTAATAGAGGTCTCTCTCAGGCTAGAGAGATGGCTCAGAGGTTAAGAGCACTGACTGCTCTTCCAGAGGTCCAATTTCAAGCAACGACATGGTGGCTTATAACCATCTATAATGAGAACTAGTGTCCTCTTCTGGTATGTAGGCATACATGTAGGCAGAATACTACATACACAGTAAGTGAGTAATCTTTAAAAACAAAAACAAAAACAAAACAAAAAACAACAAAGGTCTCTGTCACCTTCATTTCCCAGAAGATATGCCTCAGAATGCCTGTTCATGGTCACACAGCTGATAATGAAGAGAGCTATGGGCTCTAGCCAGACCTTCTGTCTACCAAGTTCAGGACATTCCATGAAGGACTCTCTAAGAGCTACTTCAAGGACTCTGAGAAGTCTGTACTCTCTGTTCTATCCCACGTGATCTACACTATAGCTTCTTGATAGGCTGAATTAATGGGAACTATATTTACAAACCATATAGGCTCTTCCTGAATCTAGGGAAAGGGGCAGCTTAGGGTAGTTGCTGAATTTCTACATCCAGTTGCTATGGCGAGGGAATTGAGAATCATCAACAACACTCATCTTTGCAAAAATACTGTCTTAGTCATAGTTCTATTGTTGTGAAGAGACACCATGCCCAAGGTAACTTACAAAGAAAAGGACTTAACTGGGGACTTGCTTACTTTCAGAGGTTTAGCCCTTTGTCATCAAGGTGGGGAGCATGGTGGCCTGCAGGCAGGCATGGTGCTGGGGCGGTTGTTGAGAGCGTCACATCCTGATCCACAGACACCGAGAGGAGGAAATGTTGAGTCTGGTGAAGGCTATTTGTTTTTGTTTGTTTGTTTGTTTGTTAAGATTTATATATTTTATGTGGATGAGTGCTCTATCTCTATGTATAACTCTTCTGCATGCCAGAAGAGGACATCAGATCCCATTACAGATGGTCGTATGCCACCATGTAGTTGCTGGAAATTGAAGTCAGGACCTCTGGAAGAGCAGTCGGTGCTCTTAACCCCAGAGCCATGGTGTAGGCTATTTGAAATCTCAAATCACAACCCCACAACACACCTCCTCCAACAAGACCATACCTCCTAAGTCTTCTAATCTTTCTCAAGTAGTGCCATTCCCTCGTGACTAAGCAAGCATTCAAATAGCTGAGCCTATGGGAGTCATTCATGTTCAAGCCGCCACAAATACTATCCTTTATTTTGGTTCCATTTCCTGCACCACTGTCCATCTCTTTAAGTAACCAACCTTGTGTATATAAAACATTAAAACTCTTCATCAAGTGGTGTATGGTGGCAAATATCTGTAAAACCAGCATTCAGGAGGTGGAGCTAGGAGGATTGCTTTATGTTACAGGCCAGCCTGGGCTACAGTAGTAAATGTCAAGTCAGCCAAAACTGCATATCAAGACCCTCTCTCAAACAAAACAGACAGTTTAGCACGTGCTCCCTCCCGTCTGCCCTCTAGCCTATGGTTAGATTGCACTCCCTGGCTCTTAGAATTGAGTGTGGTCAAGGACGAGTAATATGTGAATGGAAGAGCTTCAGAATTCCTCAGTGTACGGTGGGTTGTGGCTATCGAGGGACAAACCTGTGCTATGGAGAGACACTGCAAGCTGGGTTTTATTGCTCTCAGGACTGTACAACCCAAGGCATGTGTCAAAAGGTCAAAAGTATTTGTCAGCTCCCTGCACTGTGCCGAGTGAAGGCGGGACATTGGGGTTGTTTACGCAGTGTGTGGTAGAGGGAGAATGGAGTTTTGAAGACTGATGAAGCTACAATTAAATATCAGCTCTGTCGCTACGTGCATGGGTGTTAGCAAAAGGTTTTGTTTATAGTTTGAGACAGTCTCACCTTGTAGCCCAGGCTGGCCTCAAAATCATAACACTCTTCCTGACTCAGTCTCCAAGTTTGGGGATACAAGTGTGAACCACCATGCTAAGCTGATTTAAAAAAAAAAATGTAATTGGTTCATTGTGGGGTTTACATCATGCACCCCCAATCCCACTCATCTCCCCCCCTTGTACCTCCCCTCCACCCTTGTAACCTCCTCCTCAACAGGAAAAAAAAAAATCTTGTTGTGGAAGCTGTATTGTGTCACAGTGTGTCCCACAGTATAGCCTTTTCCCACACGTCTTTGCTTGCAAAGAAGTTCATTTCATTGCAGTGAGTTGTTGGTCTGGTTCAAGGCCTCTGGCTTCTGCTACACTCTCAGTACTGAGCCTCACTGGGACTCCTCTCCGATGTCTTGTTGTTGCCCTGTGTCGTGGAGATCCTGTAGTTTCACATCAGTAGCACTGGGTCCTTCATGCACTCCAGCAGTTCATCCATGGGGTCGATGTTGGGGTGGGCCCATACAAAGCCCTGGATCTGGGCCTGAGTGGTGCCTGAGCTGGGCAGTCCACTGGCTCTCCCACTCTCACGCCCTCAGGGCTGGCTCACTGGCACCTCTCTCTCCTGAACAGGCAAGGTGCTGGCCCCATCTCCTAAGCATTGCAGCTGGTAAGGGAGGGACATAGCCAGTCTTTCCACTCTCATGATCCTGGGGCTAGTTCTCCTTCTTGTTATAGATGAAGATGGATGAGGGAAGTGAGGAGGGCATCTCTCTCTCATCCACAACATTGCCTGGCAGACAAGAGGCAGGACCAGCTTTCCCTTGTTCACACTATTGGGGTGTGGCTCCCCCCTCACCCCCATCAGGGTCAGCTCTACTGTGCTGCCCTGGTGAGGTGCAGGGCCTGCTCTCCTGACTGCTGCAGCTTGTGAGGGGATAGGTACAGCTTTCCTGCTCTCATGACTCCAGGCCAGGTCTCTTGCCTGCCACAGGCGGTGAGGAGCAAGGGGAGGAGGTTATCTCCCTCATCCGTGCCACCACACAGGAGACGAGTGGTAGCCCCAGCTCTCCAACGCTCACCCTGAAACTCCTGCAATGTGCAGCACCTCTCTCCTGAGTACTGTAGCTGGCTAGGGCTGGGGACAGCTTTCCTGCTCTCATGCCCCCAGGGACAGCTCTCCCACATTACCCAGGTGAGGAGTGGGACCAGATCCGCAGATATCAATTGTGTCCCCAGGGCAGCAGCCCAGACTAGGGACATCTGCCTGGCCTTTGGTGGTAACAAACCCATGTTGCTGAGGGCCACAGACCCAGATGTGGCCCCTGGTGGCAGCACAGACAACAATCCCATCGTGGTCCCAGGTGGCATCACCAGCTACTCACAATAGGATGTTCCTAACTACCCTCGAGTCTCCAGTTCCCCTTCTCTTCATTGTGCACAGATCCTTCTGCTTCTCGTTCTCTTCCATCTCTCCACACTCACACGCTCCTCTTAGTGGGTCCCAGGGTCTCTGAGTGTCTGGGGTCGTCTCAGGAGTGGTCTCAGGAGTGCTATGCCCCACTTGTGCGTTATGGCACCAGGTGGGGGTCATCTTGGGCATCATCTGCCCTCCCAAGCCTGCATGGCACCGGACTGGTGGTCATCTCATGCTAGCTTCCTGTCTGGGCAAGTCTGGTGGACATCTCAGGCTGGCTCCTTCCCTGGCTCGCCCAAGTGACCCCTTGCAAGGGTCCTCTGTCTCAGGCTTACCCAGGGATCCTATGATCCCAAGTGGGGTTCTAGTTTCTGGTTTGTTCCCTGTCCTGGAAGCCCATCCAGGTCTGTTTGGCACAGGACTGGTGGTCATCTCAGGCTAGCTCCCTGTGCAGGGCCCTGGTGCTAGACTAGTGGTTGTTTCAGGCTCGCTTTTTACAGGGAATGTTAGGCTACGAATCTAATCATTCAGGTGTTCACAGGTCAGAACACCGAGTGTGACCTCTCTCCTCTCTGCCACCTACTGACACACATGTGACACAGCAGCCACACCGGCAAGACTCTGGAGGCAGGGGCGAAGCTGCTTTCAAAGCACCCTCCACCCCTGTCATAACGTCTATCTGAATGGCAAAGATCAAATGATCAACCTAACACTGTGAACTGGCAGGAAAGAGGCAGAGCTCCTGGAGCTGGACACTCAGGAACAACGCACACAGGAACTTCCTGTACAACTCTGGGAAGTGCCTTAGCACTTTTCCAGCCGATCAACCATACGTTCACCTCGTCCCTCATCAATTTCTCTCTAGTCTAAAAGAGATGATCACTTCATTTATACAAGAATCTATATTTAAGTGAATAGAGCGGCTCTATTCATAACTATCTCACACTGGAAGCAAACCAGATGTTCTGGTGATGAGGGAAAGGGTAATCAGTGGTACATCTGTGCACTGGATGCTGCTCAACAAGAATGAGCAGGTGCATCAGGGAGCATGCATGCACACACACGGACACACACACACACACACAGTTAAGATGTAATAATTTTAAAAGACAACCTTCTGAGGGGCTGGAGAGATTGATCACTGGTTAAAAGCACTTGCAGCTCCCAGGTCAAGTTGCTAACAACCATCTGTAACTCCAGCTCCAAGGGGACCTGATGCTCTTTGCTGGCCTAAGAGGCTACCTGTACATCTGTACATCTGTACATCTGCACATATTTATGTGTCACACACACACACACACACAGCAGGGGGAGAGAAAAGGGGAGGAGAGGAGAGACAGAGAGATAGTGAATTAAAAAAACAAAACAAAACAAAAAAAACAAAAACCAGCCAGGCCTGGTGACACATGCCATTAATCCCAGCCTTCAGGAGGCAGAGGCAGGTGGATCTCTGACTTTGAGACCAACCTGGTTCATATAATGAGTTCCAGGACCACCAGGACTACATAAAGAGACCTTGTCTCAAAAAGCAAGCAAACAAACAATAACAAAAACCTTTCCCTGCCTGGGTATGGTGGCTCAGACATGTAACTCCAACAATTAGGGGACCCAGGCAAAAGAATTGTCTTGCCTCCTGGGATATGATATTAAACCATAAGTTTTTGTTTTTTGTTTTTGTATTTTTGGGTTTTTGTTTTGTTTTGCTGTTGTTTGTTGTCTTTAAAAATCCTTTCTCAGTTTCTTCATCTATAAAATTAATATACTTTCTTCACTATAGCTGCCAGGCGGGATGGATTTAGATGAAAGGGTACTATGTCCACATTGGATTCTGGGTGAATGGTTAGCTGCCTCCCTGGATTCCCGCTCTGGTCTCATTGCTCTACACGGCCCCAGAATACTCTTTTACATCGTTGACTCTCACATCTCACCTCAAAAACGAGAGCTGTCAGTTAGATCCACTCAGATACTTCCTGCTCTGTCCCCAACCCCAGCAGCTCTCCTTGCTTTCTGAAACCCTACACATGTCTGCATAATTCTTGATGTGTTTAAAGCACTTTCAAAAATATACTTCCTTCATTTGTTACCGAATCCAGGATTTAATATATTCTATCGCAGTGAGAGCCAAACTTCAGAATAACGGACAAAACCCACCAGACTGCTGAGGCCAGGATCTGGTGGGGCAGGGGGACCCTATGCACTGGTGCAGATAACCGTCTGCATCCGGTTGCTACAGAGGCCCCCATCTGCTCACAAACCCTGTCCTCCTGGCCAGGACATGTATGTGGGGGCCTTACTCACATGCCAGTCCTCAGGGGGACTGTGGCAGAGCCACCAGGTCCTTAGCGGGCTTGTCACAACCCCCCTCCCTGAACTCCGGATGCTGGGGCCCACAGAAGCCTTCTCTGTAGCAGGTGAGACACGGTGAAGGATCCTTTTCAAACCACTTCCTGAATCTGCTTCGGGTCTTGGGTAAGTTATTGATTTCTTTGGTTAGAAGGCAAGCATGACGGCATCTGAGTTTCCATGCTGTAGATGTGACATCCTTTTTTCCTTCGTTCTCTGTGTGCAGCAGGCAGGAGGAGCCCAGGACATTCATTCCCCGGCTCCTCCCCTCCCTTTCTCCACCCCCAACCCTCCCCCTACAGACTCTTAGACTTTCCTGTAAAGCAAGGAGTGAGTTGTAGCAAGGATTCCTGGGCTAGGTTGTCAGACTCACCTCACTTTTTTATTTTTAATGGTATTTATTGAAGACAGGGTCTCACTACGTATCCCAGACTAGCCTACAACTTACTGTGTACTCTACGCTGGCCCACAACTCATGACAAGGCTCCTGCCTCAGCTTCCTAAATGCTAGGATTACAGACATGACCAGAGGTCCGCGAGGGTGGCACTGTTGCATCTCCAAGCCACAGCCGCCCTTCCTGGCATGTGGAGCTATAGCCTCCTCTGGAGTCTCTGGGCTGCGCTTCAGCACGTCTAAGGGAAAAGAATGCTGTGGCTGCAGCTCCAAGCTGCGGGTGCCCAGGAGGGTCAGGGCTGAGGCAGGGCCCTGGGGGTCAGATAAGACATCGTATCTCAAGGCAGGAAATGCCAGGTCTCACTTATACACAGTGGGGACTGAATTAGGGTCTGAGTGCACAGTGAGGATTGGAAGCAGGATGGCACCCGGGGTGGGGGTGGGGGCGCTGAGTGGGCGGAGTAGGAGCAAGCAACACCCGCTGGATGCGAGGCATCACTTCCAGGAGTCTAGAGGCACCTGATCGGGCAAGGATGTGACAAAGTCCTGAGGACTGAAGGAGGTTTGGAGAAGTAAGCCCACCTAAGACTATCTCTCTCTGAAACCTAGTCTCTCCTCCTTCCTTCCCAACATCCAGGCCTTCTAGGCCTTCATACCAGGTCACCTCTTTTCCTTTACTCAAAAACACAGCCGGCCATGTGTGCCCTTTAACCTGACAGGAGGAGAGGATAGCCTGGACTTAGCAGGTAGAATGGACAGAGGGTAGGGCTCTTTATGATCTTGAGGATGAAATGTATCTCCAGCCCTTTCCTTTTCTTCTTTATTTATTTCTTCCTCCCTTTCTTTTGAGGCAAGAGCTCACTAAGTTCTATCCTTGAACTTCCTCTGTAGCCCAGGCAGGCCTTGAACTCAGGATTCCCAGACTTCAGCCCCATAAGTAGCTGAGATTACAGGTCTCTCCCATCAGGGCTTCCCATTGGCTTCCTCCAATTACATGTTGGGACCTGAACTGGAAGGCTTTCCCCTTCCTGCCTTCGGATACCCCTTGAACTAGTAAGTCCCCACAGCAGCCTGCTCTCAGGCCAGGGCATGCGGTGAGCAGAGAAGGGGGGGCGGGCTGCTCTGATGCCCTGGTCCCACACTACAGCGGCAGCACTCTCTGTTCCTTTGCTCCCAAACTCTAGGCAAGAGATAGGAGCAGGGGTGAAGGATAGGATAATATTTTAAAGCTCAGTTAATGTCAGGGCTACTCGGCAAGAAAGTAGTGTAATCTCTCAATCTCTCTCTCTCTCTCTCTCTCTCTCTCTCTCTCTCTCTCTCTCTCTCCCCCCCCCCTCTCTCTCTCACATGCACACACTTTCACACTCTGTCCTCCCCACTCTCTCCTTTCTCCCTCCTCTCTTTCTTCTTCTCCTCCTCCTTCTTCTTCTTCTTCTTCTTCTTCTTCTTCTTCTTCTTCTTCTTCTCCTTCTTCTTCCTCTTCCTCCCCCTCCTCCTCCTCCCCTTTTTCTTCTTTTTTTCTTCTTTCTCTTCTTCTTCCTCTTCCTCCTCCTCTCCCCCCTCTCTTATTTTGTGTTTTGTTTTGTTGTTTTGTTTGAGACAGGGTTGCTCTGTGTAGTCCTGGCTGTCCTGGAACTCTGCTGGGATTAAAGGCATGTGCAGCCACCACCTGGCTTTTTATGTTTCTTTTGAGGCCTGGTTGGGAATGGTTGGAAATAAAAGCAAGAGAATATAGGCAGACAGTCCCTTAAGGATGCTTGTGATGCTTCCTCTGCCCCTGCAGTGAAGGGAAGGACATCTCAGTGGGCATCCCATGCAGAGGATGGTATAGCCACGGTGAAGCAGCTGTCGCAGTTTGGTCTAGAATCCAGATTCTAGATGTTTTCCGCTCCCGCTGCCGAACAGGCTCCACAGAGATGGAAGCCACGCACATCTGGGTGAAGCAGCCTAGAGCTTGCAGATTATTCTGTAGCTCAGTGTAGTGCAGTATATAGTTCAGGGTGTCAGAGTGGGGACATGGTGTAGGATGGTAAATCATGGCGCAGGGTGCCTGAGTCCTGGCTTTGCATACTTATGTGGACCTCTGATCTCTGACCTCTCTCCTCCTCAATGTCTGGTGGAAGCAGATAATCTCTTGACCTTGGGGTACTTGAGGTAACCTGCCTGTTGTTTTCACTCATACCTACTCTCGCCACCTACTCTGCCCTAAAAGACCTCCAGTTCCTCTCCTTTGCTTTTGTTTTGTTTGAGACATGTGCTCATTTTGTAACTGAGGCTCTCCTGGAATTCCCCGTGTGGCCCAGGATACGCTCAGTTCAAGGCTATCATCCTATCTTAGCCTTCCAAGTATCGGGAGTATAGGACTTGATCACCATGGCTGACACTCTTTCTGGTTTTGTCTTCTCTCTTCTGGCAGCACTCCAAGATACCTCACCTCAGGATCCCTTAGTGAAGAATGAAGTTGAGTATAGAGTACTATAGGGCAGTGGAGTGAGTGGAGTGAGTGGAGTGGAGTGAATGGAGTGTAGTCCAGTGCAGTGCAATACAGTGTAGTGCAGTGTAGTGTACTGTACTGCAGTGCACTGTAGTGGTGTAGTATAGTATAGGGTAGTATAGTGCAGTGTAGTGCAGTGTAGTGTACTGTACTGCAGTGTACTGTACTGCAGTGTAGTGTAGTATAGGGTAGTATAGTGTAGGGTAATATAGTGCAGTGTAGTGCAGTGCAGTGTACTGTACTGCAGTGTACTGTAGTAGTGTAGTGTAGTAAGTGTAGTATAGTGTAGAGTAGTATAGTGTAGGGTAGTATAGTGCAGTGTAGTGCAGTGCAGTGTAATGTAGTGCAGTGTAGTGCAGTGTACTGTAGTGTAGTGCAGTGTGTGTGGTGTAGTGCAATGT